GCGCACGCACAAAGAAACAAATTAGACTCCAACACCGAAAACCGTAGAAACATTACAATAAAGGAAACTTTCACAGAGTGATTGAAAACAAAAGACGGCTGACTATCGCAATGCTTACAGGAGACTCGGTGTCTTTGGTGCTCAATAAGTGAAGCTAAAAAACAAAAAAAACCTACCTTAAACGTGCGCGACGCACCGATTATATCTAAAAGGGAAGACAGAAGTTGATAACCAGAAGATATTTTCTTTCGGAACTCTGATCGGATATTCGAAGCTGGGAGAGAAGAATTCAGAACCTCTGAAATAGGCGTTTGCGACGACGTTTCGAGTTCCGTCATTTACGAAGCGAGTAAGAGTCTAGTGTCAAATTGAACAGCCATGGCCCAACGATTCAGCGCCGTGCGATTGTTCTGGGTGGACTATCTACGGAGACAGAAGAAAGTGTGTAGCGATAAGCACCTCGTACCGGTAGGGAGACTCAAGGAAGTGCGGTTGGAAAAGCTACTGGCTCCACAGACAGTGAATGAATCTGACCTTTTATGCCAACATCACTACAAATACCCCCAGAATGAGATTGCTTCTCCTCACAATGTCAGTACATCACACTCTGTTTTCCGGGACTCTGATGACATTCTGGCTGAAGTGAGTCGAGACTTGCGTGCTGCTAGTCCGTCGGTAACTCCATTGAAACCACGTAAAACCACTAAAAAAAGGTGCGAAGTGTATTTGAAGAAAATACAAGCTCAAGTGAGTTCTTCGATTAGAAGAAAGCTGTCAAGCGTTTATGACGTGAAAACCGTCGAAGACAGGTGTGAGCACTGCGCGGAGTGGTTTGATGCGTTCCGCGAAGCGCTGAAGGCATGCAGTTTCCACCAGGAACGCAAGCGATTGTACACGCTTTGCCACCAAGCATCTCGAAGAAAGAAATATTGCGTCTGGTGCCGGAAGTGACTGCCTACATGATTAATCAAACAAGAAAACTGAAGCGTAAAGTTGGAGTATGGGCAATCGCTGATCCCTACATGGGGAAAAAGGCAAATGCCGAAGACGTGAGGGTTGCACTTGAGTACTACACACGCGACGACCTCGCATGCTCTGTTCAAAGCCCCAACAAAAAGGACGTCGTTAAAGCCATGATCAACGGCAACAAGACCAAAGTCGTAAAAAGGCTTATGACCCGCTCTATTAAGGAAGCTTACCAGCTGTTTAGAAAGGACCACCGCCACCGAGAACTAGGCGTATCTAAATTTTATTCCCTACGACCAAAATAGGTAAAAAAGAGTCCCGAGCACGAGGTGTGCGCATGAAAATATTGCGTCAATTTTCAGTTGCTTTTACCGGCAATAACGAATGCCTCAAAGAAGACATTTACTGAAGACGACCTCAACCGTATGTACCTCTGCAGCGCTCCAAACGATTGCTTTCTGCGCCGTTGTGAAAAGTGACCAAAAAAATTGCGATGGCTTAGCTCGGCTATGCCAGGATATACGTAGCGTGAGCTTATGCGCACAAAATGAGAGGCGCTATCAAGCGGCTCCGGTGCTGCGCCAGACTTGGCTAAATGGGCAACGGAGGCGCTCAGCTGGGCACGCGGCGGCACCAGTGCGTCTGCCGCGGATATGAAGCCACTCCTCTGGAATGCCAGACCGGCGAGGCGGGCGCGGCAGCGGCGGAGTGCGCGGCGGCGGCGGCTCCGGCGCGCCAGCTGTGCGCCGTGTGACGTCACTGCTCCTCGGGCATGCGCAGCACGGAGCCCGGCTCAATATGTGAGCCACGCGAAACTGCACAACCTCGGCCAGTGTAGCTCACGCTACAAAAACGCAGAGCATCTAGCTACAGTTGCTCCATCTTGACGAAGACGAAGAGATCTCTTTCGCGTTATGGGACGCCGGCGAACTCGTCAAAATGGTTATGGCCACTTCCGCCCTCCTGCGGGAACTGGAGTCATGGAGCGAAAAGTATATGAGGCATTCTTACATCCGTGACCTTCAACGAAGCCGGATACGTGACACAAGAACCGCTTTACCATCCAAGGCAGTGATGTTCCCCTTCGATTTTGCGGAAAATTGGACAGGAATCTTCTCAACCGAAAAACAGTTTTCATTGAAAAAATAAACGCGAGTGTTTCTCTTTACTTGTGTGGTTACGTCCACGCAAGCTTTGCCGTTGTCAGCGATGACACGGCACATGACACAGCTCACGCTCTTCTAGCCACGGAGGCCAGAGAAGAATATGTTGATGAACATCACCCAGTCTTTTCTGAAATAACTTTTGTATCAGACGGATTGGCAGCGCATTTGAAGAATCCCTTCCAATTGCACGAATTGTCTCGGAAGCCGTACTCTTCGGCAAGATGGATCTTTTTAGCAACTGGACACGGGCAAAGCGCTTGTGACGGACTAGGTGGTAATCTTGAACACCACGCAACGCTCACCAACTTGAGATCTTGGCTCAACTCAACGATTGTCACCGCTAAAGACTTTTGTGGAAGTGCTGCGTGAAAAAGTAAGAAAACTCTGCATATTCCACCTGTCTGCGGTTTGAGACTTTCGTGCGGTGAAGCAAGTAGAGTGGATAACCGTAAAACGTGTGAAGGGAATCCAGACATCTCATCTGTGGAAGTCTTCAGATGCCGAGAGGCCGGATGCACACGTGGCCACTTGCGCAACTGAGAGTTATAAGCTTATCTATGCATAGGTAGCAAATTTGCAGAGTGGGGCCGTTCTGTTTTTGTGAATTGTAAGCTAAGTAATGGTATCCCAGCTCAACGTTTCTTTTCGTGTCAGTTATGCACACCCCTTCTGAAAAAAATAAAATGAAATATAAAATACATGCTATAACTAACACTCAAAATGTTCGGTGCTGTGCGGCAAAGCCGATAATGACGAAGACGTCGGCTCGCTCCGAATGATGGTTTGTCGTAGCTTTTCCCGTCTTGAGGTCATATGTCACTGAATATTTTACCACAAGAAGTTTGTTCAAGTCACTGCAAAATGCCAATGGCAGTTTAAAAAAAATAAAAGATGTTTTTTTTTTTTTTTTTAGATTTCGACGCTCAATATTGGCACATTACGAGAAATCGGCTGCATTTGCGCGTTAATAACCAGAAGAGAAATAAGGGTGGGGCATATTATCTTTATATATTCGTAACGAATACTTAAAGGCGGGCATTTTGATATGTCTTGTTAAGTATTACGAAAGGTGGTTTATTTACAAAAAAATTTTGAATATGTCTCTGAAACGTGTTTTATGCAGTGTTTGCATATAAATATTTTATTGATATTTTTAATTTTTTTCTGTATGTGTTGTAGATATTTTGTAAAAGGTAATAAAAAAGTTATGGTGACGTCAAAGCTTCGGTGAGAAAATGACAACTGTGCAAATTAGCATCGTGAAATCTTCTCAATTTCCACGCCCGAGCTTCTCTATTTTATATCTAAGCGAGAAAAAAAAATTGTTGCGGCATTCATATATAGCTGAATGTTCCTCCCAAGAAAATGGCATTCATATATATTTTTCTACCAAAAACATCAAAATTATAACCCGATCAATCATTGCACGAACTGATGTGGAATCACCCGAGTGTACAGTGCTGCGAAAACGTATATGGAATACTCGAGCTGTGTCTTATATTGTGAAAGCGCTATCCTGGCGGCAGTGAAAAAAAGGCTTCATGATGTTGCGCTTAATCCGCCCACTAAAGGTCGAAATCGCGAATGGTCCGTGGACACCTAGATTACGCCAGCCACCTGTAACGTAGTGCAATGGAAGTGGGGAAAAGCCTGGATAGTACGGCGGGCAAATTGCTACATTATCCTCGGTCTAGTCGCAATTACGTCCTTGAGCGAGCGGCCTCTTCTACTAGAGCATTTTCATTGAGCGCTACGTCATGGAGCAGCTCTTCGGTTTCCGCCAAGATAGCGTCCCCACCATGCAGACACAGTTCCCGTGTTCCGTACAGATGTCAAGCCATGAGCAGCCATATTTAAGTTTGAGCGTCACTAACCAGCCACAAAAGAACATGTCCGGAAACGAAACAAGCGATATGCTGCAGAGGATTGCTGGTGTCCACAAAAGGTTTATTTTGTTTCGTTGATGGACTAAAATGGCTGCTTGTTACACTAGTGGGCTTAGGTTCACTTCAGACGAGGCAATTTCCCATCAATTTCGGGGTTGCCAGCGAGTTATTCCCTTGATCCTCGCGCCACTTAGGCAAAGAGATCTCCTCCTTGCCTCTTGTGAACTTGACGAATGTCTTTGTAGGCATTCGCCTGACCACTGGGAAGGGGGACACCTCGTGACACTAACACAGGTGAGAAAAATAGAATGCATCTTCACCGGAAACAAGAAAAAAATCAGCGTTAAATCGCGTTCAAGATGAAAGAAACCTATCTTGTTTATAAATATTGAACGCAATAGCGCACACATAACGCAAATACGTGCTGATCGTCTACATTGCACATACGTATATCAATGACCTACGTTCTCTGTAAACAAACTAGTGTTTTGAGGCGTAAGAAAAGTCTGCATCTAAGTGACGGGACTATCAGTCGTTTTCTTTTTGCCTTAGAAACCCAAGATCTTCAGAGACCATCAGCTTAACTCGGCACAATAACGACCCCATCATTACTATCATGACATACTGGAAACGTGTGCGGCGAAGGTCTGTTCCGGATCTGCACCCAAGGAGTCTGAAGCGTCTACTTCCCCGCGAAGCAATCGGTAGAGTCGATCGTTGCAGCTTACGCAGGAATCTCAGCAGATGACGAGGGTGAAATTATGTTTAGACCTATATGTAAGCCTACGCTGTGGCACTGTGCATGACGTGCTTAAGTGCCACAGCGAGGTGTATTTTTTATATTAAACATATCTTTAGCTTTGTTTTTCGCCGAGCTCCTTCCGTGGGTTGCAGCGATTGACCCTCCCAAGTGCTCTGTGGAAAAGTGGACGCTCCATATTTATTGAAGTGTGCTTTTGAACCAAAAAACCGAAGCGCCCACCTCTTTTTCTCGTTCTCCGTATCCGCCAGAAAGTGCAGGTGCCGCATCAGGGGCTCAGGGGGTATGGCTTCGAACGTGTTCTTTTTGCCGGACATGGAGCAGCTCTGCACACGGTACCCGTGAAGCAGAAAAGCACCTGCACCAGGACGTTGTCTTGTGTGAACAATCAGCGCTACCAAGTGACACCAGCAAAACAAAACACTTTGCGCCGCATTTTATAAGCTTAAACCTCTTACATGTAGGGTCGTGGCGACCTTTCACCCCTTAGTTTTTCCCAGAGTTGGTTAAGGTACATATAAAAACTACTTGAAGTAAAATACAAAGTATTTGAGAGGTTATAATAGGGTGTTTGACATGCCGAGGCTGAATCGAAAAAGAGCGGTAAAAATCGGCGCCTGGACGTAGCAATCTAATATTTTTGTTGAAGGTGTATTTCACAGGTGGGGTTTACCTTGTAAAACGACAAAGCGTAGCTCCCCTTATGTAAAAAGCAGGATAAGAAAACAAAAAAAAAAAGCTTGCCAGGGTCAACGGCGGACGGCAACGCAGACGACCGAGTCGAGTGGCGGGGCGTGTTTGGCGCGTTGGCGCTACCTACTTGTCTTGCCTTGCTTTTAAAAATGTCGAGGCTGCCCTCGATGACCGTGGACTATTAAAGTGAACGTAATCTTGTCTTATAGTACCTTGGTTTTAAAATACATGCGGACAATGATAGCAATACTTGAAGTTACAAAAATAAAAGAAAATGTGGTTGCATAACGACGGGGCTCTTGCTGCCGACGGATTTTGTCTGCATGTCGTCTGCCTTCTTTCGTTGGCAGGCTACACCTTCCGACGCTGTTCTCGACACCATCTATCAATACGTGCGCCAAACGCGCCACGCCACTCGGCTCGTCTGTCAGTGTCGACGTCCGCCGTTGACCCTGGCAAGTTTTTTAGCCATATTTTTTAGTGAAAGGGAGCTACGCCTTGTTAAGTTTACAAGGAAAAACCCACATGTGAAATACGCCTTTGACGTAAAGTTTAGATTGCAACGTGCAGGCGCCGATTTTTACGGCTCATTTTGAATCGAGCCTCGGCATTTCGGACAGCCTTCAAGCAAAGTTCAACGAACACAATGTACATGAAGTAAAGTACTATAAATACAATGTATTTTCAATGTAAATTACAAGTACCTTTTAGCACACTTTTCATGAAGGCATTTAATTCCCCTATACAGTTATTTTTAACTGGTATGCATCGCACCAGTGATACTCGGGGTTGCATCAGTTATTTCCGGAAATGACAGCGAATATTCGATAAAGTAAAGTGGCCAAAGAGTGGTGGTCCTTCCCTCGCTGACAAACTATTTAGCACATTCAACATATAAAGCACTTATTTGTTAACGAAGCATCCTTTTGGGATCCCAATTTAACAAGACCAAATTTGGGAATTATACTTTGAAGTTGGGAGTTGTACTTTCCTCGGAAAGTACCAGAAAAAGTACTTTAATTATAGCACAAGTACGTACCCATAGAATGCACTTCAAGTGAAGTACACGTTTTTGAAACCACAATGTGCTTAAAGTACTTCCCCACACTGCTTTCTCCGGATGGAGGTTTAGGATTGCTATAGCTGCACCGTCATTACCCCACTGGAAAAAAAAGTTAATCGGCGATACTCCCAGGAAAGGTGTCAATAGGCTTATCATGTTCGCTATAAAATTTTGCCTACTGTAAGATTGTCTTAGGAATATGACTGTTCTTTTTTGTTAAGGGTAGGATGTTTTTGCATATTTCACAAAAAAAAACAAAAACTGGAAAAATATCTTACAGAAAGACAACGAAAAGAAACCCGACGCAAATATCGCGACTCCAGCAAAACGGACGTCCCCTAGGGGAAAAACACTGCCCTGACGGGAACAGGTCCTCTCGTGATTTCTGCTCGTCTCTTTCTTCTGGTTCTACCCCTTTCCCTTCGCCCCAAGATAAACGATCTCTTCGTCTCTTGTGGTTTCTGTGATTGCATGTTTTCGGCGGCTGGTGTTATAGCCGCCGATGTAAAGCGAGGGAAGCTGCGCTGGTTGTGTTCAGAGAAACGAAAACGGCAGCAATGACAAGGGCCGCGGGGAAAACCATGACTCGTTGGGCCTAGGAAATTAGGTGCGCCTTGCGTTGCTTCTAATGCCGTTTTGGCCGAACAGTAGTCCCGGAGACTCTATCGTTACTGTCGTATTAGTGTGTCGCCTAAATATCTCACGACGCAACCCGCGCAACCGCATAAACCAGACAGTGAGCGTTTGTCAACGTCCATTAGTGCGGTAGAAGGACAGTAAATATTTTTTTTATCGCTCATCCGAAGAAGCCTTTGCAAGTTCGCTTATGCCAACGCACCGCTGCACGTTTGGGACGTAGTGAACGAAAATCGGAGCAAACTGTTTTGAGTTCAATGCTTGCCAGCTGAAACCCGACCGTTGTGCAGTGAGCTGGCACATGGCAGTTCACGACCTGTTTTCGACCTTCATATTTGCCCTAGAGTGGCGACCCTTATAGGTCACTGGTGTCGCGATGGCTTGCACAGACGTCAAATGGGCGGCCATTGTGGTGACCTTGCTGCTGATCACGTAAGTGCATTTCGAAAAAAGTTACGTGCATGCCATGTATACTCCATTTCACTTCGAGTGCGAGCGTAGCAGAAGTTACAGGAGAGCGAGCTCCGGGCCTTGAGCGTCTCTGCCAAGCTCGTTCGCTCGTGCCCAGCAGGCGTTGTTTATGGCAACAGGCTCGTGCTTGTAGCTTCGAATTCATTCGAGCATAAAGGGAATCAAGCTATTGGGCAGGAAATCGAACTATAGGGTGCGCTTTATCGAGCTTGTTGTTAGAGTGCCTTCATACACACGCGCGCCTTTGCTTGAGTGGTGACATCTCAGCCATTTTTCCGCTCAATTGTTTTTTATGCCTTTTGAAGTGCGCGCAATCCGGTGTCACTCAGCTCGAGCGCGTAGCTTTGGCTAATGCATAGACGCCATTTTACCGCCCAAGTCATGCACCGAGTGCGCGAGAGCGTCACGCGCTGGCACATTCAGTGCAACAATGGATGTCTTCACCCTGAGACAGACAGACATGCAGGCACCCTACTTGTTGTCCCCACAGATCGGTGTTTACTAACACAGCATAACAAATAAATTAAACCTCGCCTAGCACGGACTGGGCACGAGCTCTTCGCTCTGACCAGTCCGTTCGTCGCTCGAGGAGCGGCCTTCAAATCGTCACCTTTGTTTTTTCGAATCAAAAACAAACAATAAAATTCGGTTTCTTGTCCCAACAGCTGAAACGTACCGCTAGAGGCGTGACTGTTCGATCTCGTCCCCAAAAAGTGTCATGCAGCATTCAATTTCGTATAGTGAGTCCTCGACGCACCAATGGCGACCGGCGCGTTGCGGTCCTTGTAGAAGTAGAGGCAGGCGTCTTTGAGCACGAGGAACCGCTTCTTCCAAGACTTCCACTGCTGACTGAGCTTGCATAGGTAGCCCTGACAGTCGGGTTCCACCAGGGAGCCGCACGGAGCGTGCAGCTGGCTCACCACGGTGTCCATGTACGAAGCACCCTGGAACGGCAGCAGCAGAAACGCCCCACGTGAAAGGAAGTTCGAAGCATCCCAATCCTATCGGACAAAGTCGGGAGGCGCAAAGTGTGTAGAGAGTGTTTTGTGGTGGGCTGGTTGTCTATGGAGATATCTTCAGCCCGCAAGGAACGCCAAATTCAGCTGTCCAAATTAGGAAGTTTCCGTAGAGCGTTTTCCCACCTCCGCTACGCTTTACGGAACGAAGACGCCACTACTGCGCATGCGCGGCGCTAACCTGGCCTACCGAGCGCCTGATCTCGTAGCGCGTTGCGAAGAACGTTGCGGGACAGCGGAAACCATCTACAAAAACTCCCTATTAACAAATATAGACCAACTAGCTAAGCACAAGCCCGTAAGGCACGCAACCCCCTCCCCCCCCCCCCCCCCCCCCTTCTTTTCCTGGACAACATCGCCTCGGCGCATGTACTAAAATGAAAATTTCAACTGAACAAAGGCAAACATTCCTAAGTTATCCGGAAATTGTTTAGATGGCAAATATAAAATATCAATAGGCAGTAAGTAAACTTTTGGATCTGTAAAGCTTTTATTCCACAGCTCCACACATCTGTTTGTATTGAATTCGATAGGCCACATTTACAAAATTGTCAATTTCTGCTTTTCCTTAGAAAATGCCGTAACGCTCTGGTTAACAAAAAACTAAAATAAAAAAGAATTTGTATATTTCTTTGAAAACGTTTTATTCTACGAAATGTTCTAGAAAGTAGGCCATGGCGAAACATTTCTCTGCTAAATTGTGTGGGAAAATGGAGTCGGCGCATAATTATGCACCCCCCCCCCCCCCCCCCAATTTATGATTTCTTTCTAAATTTCGGGGATACATGAGGTGTTACGCATTTGGGTTACACTTTTTGAAGCCATTTTTTTTACGAAACCCTGGGGCTTTGGTTTTGCTGGGTTATGTAGGCTCTTGTAACTTATAGGGGTGGTGCAACAATATTCGGTTGGAATGATTCTCACTTTACACACGCTTACACTGGCAGTAGTGGGACACTCTTAAGCGTGTTTCACATGCAGCGATTTTGGCCCTAAAGCGGCGCGATTTCTGCCGTCGCGGCGCTCGTGCCGCAGAATTGCTGGTGCTGGCCAGAGCGCCGCGACGGCAGAAATCGCGCCGCTCTAGGGCCAAAACCGCTGCATGTGAACTAGGCTTTAGGGGAGATCGGTGGCCGAGTGGGCTGGCGCACACCAGCTCGGAGCACGTGGAGCGAAAGCTCGCGCTGCAGAACCCAGGGATCCTGGGTTCAATCCCCACCCCTGCCCGTTTCCATCTGGATGAGCGTCGCACCGGCGTGTGGTCGTGTATCACTACTGCATGGTGCACGTTAAAGACCCCAGGCTAGCGGTTGTACTGCACTGGCTAAATTTCTCAGCTACAGCTGAGAGACAAGTTGCCCGTCAAGGGAGACTAAGTTCTAGGCTGTATAAACACACACACACCCCAATTTTTTGGGGGGACACTCTTAAGGGCCACCCACACTAGCGAGAAAACGCGCCCGGCGCGCCGATAAATCGGTTAAGCGGCAAGATAAAGGGCGTGTCTCTGCACGCGCTCGTGGCGCTGACTGTGCTTCGGCGACATTTTGTTACTTGCCGCGATCGGCGTGCCACGCGCGTTTTCTCGCTAGTGTGGGTGGCCCTTTACGCAACCCACTCACCAAGAAGCTTTGTCGTCGCGTAATGTGAAGAATAAAAGCGCACGGCTTCGTTCAGTCTCTCCTTCGCAAAACCTGATGACGAAGTCAAGGGCATCGCATTGTTTGCGATGTCAGCAATGCGAGTCCTATGCTTTTGCCTTGCGATTCCCACCGTGACGATATTTAAATGCGGCTCATACGGTGGACACAAGCATGGCGTGAATATTTGATTTTGGCTCTTGACAATATGTAGGGACTTTTAGTAAACCGTTACTGTGTTCCGCGTAGCGCACTACCAAAGGCTTTGAAGCGTGCTTTTAAGCTCGCGCCCGGGTGATACCATGACCGCGGGGAGCCCGCTTAAAAGCATGCTTCAAAGGCTCCGGTAGTGCGGTTGTGCGGCACGCCTAGTGCTGTAGTCGTTACCGAAAAAAAGTGACGACATACGTTATTCGTTAGATGCAAGGAAAAGAAACGCTGTACCGACCCATACGTTACTTCAAAATAAAAGGAACGCGTTACCGTTACCGGTAAAACGTAATGCACGTTACTTGTTACTTCTATTTTTAAATTCACGGTGACATCATTTTTTTGGCGACACCGTTTTTCGAGATTGGGACAGAGGGCGTGGGCGTTGGCTTTTTTTCTTTTTCTGGTGGATCTTTTTGCGTGGGGAAAAGACTGGCAACATTTTGAAGCTATGAGGGGTGAGTGCAATAATTGACGACTTGGCGCTTATACTTCGTTTCACCCTAGGTCCAGATGCAGCCGACGCTACGAGCTAATGGGACCAATTGAGCAGCGTGAAAAGCGCAAGTCACTGGGCCTTTTTTGTGTATGATTGGTTCAGCGATGATAGTACACGTACAGAAGCACGACAAGCCACCATGATGGTGCCCTTTTGACTCTGTCCGATTGGTCCCATCAGCTCGTAGCGTCGGCTGCGTCTGGACATAGGTACAACCAAGCAAAGAGACACGCTAAAAATGTAAGTGTCTTTCATTTTCAGGGTTTGGGAAAAAGGTGTAACGAGTAACTTAACCATACGGCAAAAAGCAAAGGGAGAGTGCTAGAGGTAGGAGCCTCTTCTGACGTTTGCAAGTGCGGCCTCTGGGCGCCGCCATCTTGCTGCTGGTGTGGGTAGATCGCCTGATAGTCAAGCATTGCCAAGACGTACCCACGGTTTCTAGACTGGCGCCCAAACAAAGTGTATTCCTTCCCAGATGGCCAGACTAGCTCTCGAAGCCTGCTTGCAAACGTCGCTTACAAATAACCACTGCTTGCGTCCCAAGCGACTTCCGGTCGCTCTGTCTTTGCAAATCTGTCGAGCTTAGGTATGTCACTAGTGCTAGAAAGCATGGATGCTACACAGAAAACAAAGTTGGAGTTTTAGCGACGGCCTTTGGCTGTGCAGTTTAATGTCTTGGAGGAGACAAGTTGGTTTACAAGAATATTCGAAAATTTTGAACAGATCTCGCGCTTCTTGGCTCTTTTGGCGTTCACCTGGAGAATCGGTGGTCAAATGTTTCATTGACGTTTCAAGCAGCGGCGTTAAGGGGGCTTTGTTCATTCTTTTTTTATTAACCGGAAGTTCGCTCGGACGTCTAAGACTGGAGCACCCCCTGGTGGCAACCTGCAAAGCTGTTTGTTTTAGCACTATCTATCGATTTAGGCAAGAAACATTGGGTATGCCTGTGAGTGGCAGCTGCAATGTTCAAACGTGACCTATTACTTTGGTGGCGTTGCTTAGACTAGTTTGTGAAGCAAGAAATGCTGGCTAGGTCAGGGAGCCGTAGACGTATGACATGCCAGTACAGCGGAAGCTCAAGACCCTGTGGGCCAATCGGAACAACGGAGTGAGGCGCGTGACTATACGTATTGCCCGTGTGCACTTTTACTGTGAAGAATTGTCAGGCTTTTTGCTGCGTCATGCTCCAATACTTGGGGATGGCGCTCATATACGTAGTGTAGCGCATATCGACGCTGTCGGAACTCAATGTAAGGCGTAGCGTTCACCCTTTGCCAAGTTACAACGAGGCAGGGTATAACCGTGGGCTCTCACACTGCTGGTGCTGCCTGGTCGTTGCCGGCTGGCTATAGGTTGGGTTTGGATAGGATGGGGTTTGGGCCCTATGATGCGCTTTTATCGCTGGTCGCAGAACATCACCGAAGATTGTGGAGCGTCAAATTGTGGATCTTGAGGCAAAATAAACAAGGCTTATCGTTAATAAGATACAAAGCTTAGCCGGTGCAGCAAACTTTACGCAGTCCCATGCTGGCTATCAGAATGCTTTACAGATGACGCAGTGAGGTGATTGAAAATTACGCTCTCACGCTAGGTAGTTAAGATCTGCAGCAGCGCCTTCAAGTTGCATAGTTATAAGAAATGTGACTAAGCCAAAAAATGTTTAATGCTGGTCTTGTTTTTTTTCAGACATTTGTCTATCACAGTTGTGGACTTAACGAGGCCGCACGCAAAAGACAAACTGATTAATGCACATGTTAGCCAAGAGCGTTGTTCTAATAAATTATTTTCCTTGCTTCATTCTGCCTCTCGTCGTCACCAGCATTCACGACACGAAGAAAAGTGAACCAAGGTGCGCATAAAAGGGCGATTTCTTGGTTTAGCGATTAGATAGTTTTGGGAATAAAAATATCTGTGCCGTATAGAAGCCCGTTCAAGACGACAGCCGTTTTTTTGAATGAAACGCTCCTGCTTGCGAAAATAAAACACTTTTATACTCAATCGTGGAACACCGAAAATATCAGGTCGTTCATTCGGTGTGCGGTTTACACGTCTTTTAAGGCTATGGACCGCGATTACTGTGCTTAAACGAATTTGCTACCACATTGTGCAGCCACCTTTATGCCACCTTTATGCCACCTGCTCACTTAAGTCAGCGCTCGAGCAATGACCAGAAAAGGGCTGAATTATTTCCACTCTAATTACTATACTTCATATTACGATAAGAACGGCTGAACGCTGATGAAGAATCGCGAAAAATGCATATGTCGCACGAAGAAAAGAAAAAACAAAAAAGAAACACGACGAGTTCGTTCGTGTTCTCTACGCCGTTATGAACGTACATGATTAGAAAGCAATCAGTCTTGCTCTGATTTTAATGAATGTACGGAATAAGACTCGCTTCAAAGAAGCCTCTATGATCCAACTTCTTGACTGACACAGGTGTGAATTGCGAAGCTGCCTTTCAGGATGTAAGGAGACAGGGTAGACTCATGTTTCTGACCAATAATTGTGTGAATTGCGCTTTTGAACTGTGCATAAGGCTGTTATATATCTGAAGCGTTTGACAAATAAATCTAGAAGCAACAAATTACCAAATTAGAGCACAAAAGGGGCCAATTGTGTTTTTGTCCGCTTTCTGTTTTGCTTTTATTATTCACAACTAATCCTCCAACAGTGGGGTTCGTCCGAATTTAGATGCTAATACAGCTTAACTGACGAATATTAGGACTGATGTGCGAAGGGTCAAGTATCTCGCTACTCCAGTGACGGCGATGCGTATATGAGCTCTTGTACACCGCGTCTGTTTTTAATTCTTAGAGCATTTGTTAAAAAAAGGAATGCCCGTTAAACATAGTGTGTTCATCAAGTTCGAAGAATAGTAAATAAAAGGATGGCCTTCACAATTCAGTTAGGTAATGAACTAACATATATTATTTGTTTTCTTTAAATTTGTTTGATGGGTTATGTTAAAAGAGCAGTTTTGAAGACAATCATCCGTAAAGGTTGAACCTATTTTTTTCAAATTGCGAAAAACAATGTGTGTTTAGATTGTTTGATTTGTAATTTGCGTTTGTTTGCTTGATTATTAAATTTGACGCAGAAGGGCCGCAATTCCTGTCCACACTGATCCATACACTAAGTGACGGAGTCATTACAGAATTATTCTGTAGTCTTTTGTTCATGGGAGCGTCGGTGAAATGCCATCGAGATAACAGCATGTTCCTTATATGAATTATAAGTGCATCCCTCTTCTACGTGTAATTGTGGGTAGGGCTCGCAGCACTCCTTATCCGTCCACTTTAAGAGTACGACGACAAGGACGTAAGACATTATAAATAAATATCTGAAAGCCTGCTGCCTTCCTTTTGCAAATTTGATGTCACTACCATGAGCAACGTGAAATGGCAGACTGGCATGTATGATACCCGCTGTGACTCTTAGGGATGGCTGTAAAACTATTGAAAAATCTATAATCGATTACTGGCGTGCATATACGTGTATTCCCCATAATGAGGGGCGCTGTGTGGTTTTTATGCATATCTTAGTTCGATGTGTTTCGAAACATGGATCTGAAAGATATGTTATTGTAGGTCATTACGGAATTGACCTTGCTCATTGGTAACAGTCTGTTTTGCTTATATGAGGCCGACCGAACTTGCCAAGTGAATACTGCCAAGAGTGGCCTCAACAAATACGGGTTGTTTTAAAGCAGCCGCTGAATATTCCCCACGACAACAATGTCCCTGGGTTCAGACTCCTACAGCTCTCCAGGTATCCCGTGGTTCTGTTCCGACACCCACATTTGTTACCATAACAGCACTCCTATGTGCGTAAAGGGGTCACAAATTTCACACTGCCGTATACTTCACAGGTTTTACAAAAACAACAAAAGTTCCCTTTGAACAATTAATATTTTAGATGTCGCAACGACCGCGATAAAATAAAGGTAATTTATTTTCTAAAACTTTCCTGAAATATTCTTTTTTCTGTGTAAGACTGGTCAAAATTTGGCAAGTTGTGGTTGGTTATTGCAATCTTACCCTTGAAGCGATGCAGGCGACTTGGTTCAAGGCACTGATCCACCTGCAACAAGGTGTTTACCGTAATATCAGTCACTGCTTATATAGAAACAGTTAACCTCCCCCCGAACCCTATATTCCTACCTTCGGCCACTTATTATATAAAGTACTGCCCCCCCCCCCCCCCCATTACAATCAACTTCATTAAAAACAGATCACATTTCCTAAATTGAGCTATCTTTTTTTGGTATTTCTGTGGAAACGCTTCAACAGAAATACAAATTTGGTGCATCCCAGCCGTACAAATTTGGTGCATCCCAGCCGTAGTTGACCTGTGGATATCGTAACATATTCGTTATAGCTATATCATAACCGTGTATAGGGGATCCAAAGCAAGAGGCAGTAGCTCCGGTACTGGAAAAATTAGTTGAGAGGTTAACAAGCATGGACTTTCCTCCACAGTAGCTTGCAGAGCGTCATAGACCAATTTGAACAGTATTTGATTCATATTAATGAAAGCAGTTTCAACAAAGCCGAAACCTCCCTCTGCAGACCATTTAAGCTCACACTCTTTAGGTAATCCTATAAACCTGGTTTTGATCTTTAATCTATCTTTAATGTATGCAAGGGCTGCTAGAGTACGTTGCCCTTGCCTTACGATTCGGCGGGCCGCAGACACGCCATTCGTCGTTTGGGGCCAAAATAATGGGTTAATCTATTTTTTTTTTTGTTTTATCTGAGGGGCTCACGCAATCTCTGGAACTTCGCACTGCAAACATCGACTACCTCCAACGTCTGCCGGATCCGACATCGCGCACCATAGACGCGCACACAAAGCGGATTAACGACAAAGCAAATCCGAAGAGAAGCTTTGCGCGCGCTCCTATAGGGCGCAAAATTTTGTTCGACAGAGATCGGAGCGAGGCGGGTAGCCTGTGGACAGCCCTCAACACTGCGTGCCTGCATTTGTATCCATTCTCTCATAGTTGGAGAGCGAATGCAAGTTCGTTCGCTAAGCCGATGCCGCAAATGTGGTTTCCGACAAAAAACAAAAACATTGCAAGAATAAAAAAAAAAAAAATTTTTTTTCGTTGCGAAATACAACACAAAACAATCAGGATGTGCTGATCTTTATTGCTCACAAGGTCTATAAAATTGCACAAACAAGGGGCTGGTTTATTCCAAAATGGCACGCCAGTCGCTCGCTTCTACAGCTCCCTAAGCGAGAAACACATGCGACAAAAATCGCGTCGCGTCGCACCGTCCAGCGGTGTAACCATAGCAACCGTCGCTGACGGTATGACGTGGCCGAGTGCTGCGCCTCCACATCACAGCGTCAGCGACGGTTACTTTGGTAGCGCTTCGAGCCACGGTTTTTGTTAACATATGTTTCACGCTTTAGACGGTGGAAGGCGATGGTCGTACTGCACTGACCAGCTTTCCGACCTGCTGCGTGTGGCAATGTTGCAATACACTCAAAAATGCACATATTTCAGGCCATCTAAACATTTATAACGTCTAAAAATTCATGCTTTCATATCCCTTCAAGCGCCTCCTGATAATCCTCTCTTCCTTTTTCTTGAGCCTATGTAGCTTTCGCGCCTCTCGTACTGTCACACTAAGATAAATCGAAGATAATCATACGAGCCATTCCGATTAATCCAGCGCATTGAGAGTGCTATGTAACCTCGTGCTGCGCGCGTCGCTTCGGTCGACCGGAAAATTACGTGACACGCCCTCAGCACAGGATCGGCTCGTAGCATCCGCTGAGAACTGGCTATAGTTAATCTTACTCAGGTGAGACTGAGTAGGGACAAGACGATTGGAGTTACCCCTGCTGGAAGACATACTGTAGTCGCCCAGTCTTTCTCTCCTGAACAATAATTCCTGCACCCAACATGCCCGGGTATAATGTTTCACCACCCTACGTGTAGAGGGAGAGAGAAAGAGAGAATGAATGATATTGTGGAGCGGCATATAGAAAAATAACAACAACGAGGGTGCAAGCAAGACGGTGAAGGTTAAACAAGGTGAATTTACCCGAGCCTGGAGGTTTTCCCAAAGGAAGTAACGAACATGTAGATACTCTTAGTCCGATAACGGCTAGTTTTGCGCGAAAATGTACCTCTTTTTAAACTCCTACTATTGGCGTGACATGCCACGCCGATTTCGGCGTTACAAAAGTCATGCCGATATCGGCTTGACTTCTGTGACACCTGTCAGACGTTAGGGGTGGCTGATACATTCACGCTTACATTGATGTGACAGATGTGCCCCTTTGTAACGGCTAAAATAGTGGTCAGCGTGTTCTGAAAAAAAAACAAAAAAACATAACATTCAGAGGAGAAAACAAAATGTTGTGCGTACGTTTTTGCGTTTATGTGCGTTTATGTCATTGACACCAACGCAGAGACTGAGACTTGTATATGTTTGTGTCGTCCTTCAGAAAACCTTCTCGGGTGAATTCACCATGTCTCACCTCAACGATTAGATATATAGAAGAATAAAACGACTCGAGATGGCTCTTGCCTGCTGGCAGCTTCCTCGTCGTCTGCTGCAAAGTAGATGGCGTTGGATGTGGTCCCGGGAGATTTGACGACCTTGAAGGCGTGCTCGGCGCCCGCCTCCACCACGCGGCTCACTGAGACGGCCTCCAGCATGACGGCTCCCACCAGCTCGCTCGACTGCACCCCAGAGAGCATATTCGACGCACGTCAGAAAAACAAGAATCACGCAACTTATACGCTGTTCATTTTGTTTACAAACTTGGTGATTACGCTTGGTGTATTCTGACTTAATTACGTACTTTAATAAAAAGGGTACCAAAAGGAGGGAACACCGAACTTTTGTCTCCCCAGAGCGCGGGTACGGCGCGAAGGGCGCGATGTTTGCCTCCTTTTCGAACATGCATTACCGCTTAAATGACCAAAGTAAAGGTGTAACGTAACGTCGACGGGCGCGCGCGCCCAACCGCGTAGCGCACCTCGGCGACCGTCGGCAACGTTTGCACCGAGGTAGTCCCTCTTCGAATCTCGGCGCCAGCTGGCGAAGGTCAGTACCCAGAAGGCCTTACGCCAGCTCCTGTGTTTGCCGTGCTCCTGTCGTTGCCCCAGTCGGGAATCGGTCGGGCTGTGTTGTGTCTCCGTCTGCCTGTCGTTAGGGCGTGTGTCATATAGTGTAGCCGCTGGCTAGTTAAATGTGCTTGTGTTGGTGCACAGTCCGGCGTACTAAATTTTCGAATACGCGCGCCTCCGAAAAATCAGTCCGCCGTGAAGCCGTCACTCGTGATTGGCTGTCGCGTGCCCTCCCCTGCTGCCTTCCCGTCCGGTGGCGCCCCCTGGTGTTCTGCGCCACGACGCATAAAGAGGCGCGCGGCATAATCTTTGATTGGACTTTTAATAGGGAAATCGGCAGCTTTGAATGAGATTTTGCGTTTTTTAGAATGCTTAGAGCCCGTAGACTGAGTTATGACAATAATTAGACGATCTTAGCATCCGCTGTTTTCATCCTCACTGTCGCAGGGCAGCCGGGCAGCGCTGCAAGTTGCGATCGGAAGCGGAAATTCGTCACCAGCGAGACCAAACCACGTGGTCGACATGGTGACGCGCAGGCGCAATGTGAAGGAATTCGTTGGAGCGCGTTGAACGACACCGGACTGTAAACACAGTTGGCAATTCCTTTCGCAGCGCGGCGTGGCGAAGTGGACGACATACGTCGTTTCATGTCGTCAGACGTTAGGTTCGTCAACGTCGGAGTATACACGTACCTTAGAGAACAAGCGAAATGTTGCCTCATTTAGGAAGTAAGTTTTCACTTCCATGATGGGCTTGGATCGGCGCAAACGAGTGCGCTAATTGGTCTCCCGATATGACACGTGAGGCGCTCGTCATTCGTCGCGCATGCGTGGACATCGTGCCCGCCGGCGGCGAGCGCGCTCCCCCCGCCGTCCCCGCCGACACTCCTCGCCAGTCATAACGGTGGGACTTCAGAAGCTTACCCTTGCCATAGGGAGCTCGCGTTCGACACATGACGCCAGGGCAACACTCGACACAAATTCGAAGAAGGCAACACTCGACACAAATTCGAACGCACCAAATGCGAAGGGCAGCTGCCTTGAACTGACCCGCGCCCGCTCTTGCCCGCGCGAAAGAAAAACGCGTATGAATAATAATAAAAAAAGAGTTATGTGCACCAAGTTTCACGGCGGAACTACTTGATAGCTCGTCCTTATTAGTCCTTGCGAACGGAGACCGCCATCTAGCGGGAGGAGAACAAAATTCAAAACATAAAAAAAAGATAGTTGAAAACTCGCTTTTGAACAGTAGCTTCGAAACGAATTAACCTACACTAAATATTGTTATAACAACTGATTCCGTATTAAATTTTATAGGAAATGCTGCGAGCACAATTTTTTTTTTATTAGTAGAATATGTAAAACGTCGTTGAACCCAAAAGTGTCACAACAACCGTTTTTACTCAGTTTCACATGTACTAAATACTCAGAGGTATGACCTGCAACGATGCGCCAATTAAGTATTAGTCACTTTATCGTAAAAGTTTCAAGCAAATACAAAGAGCGGTTCTCATGTAGGAATGTTTTGAAAACGTAAACAAATCTACATGTATTCTCTATGGCATTTGGAGGTACTATGTCCTCTTAAAGGGCCCCTGAAAAGAAAACATTTCTTGTATACAGTCTGGTTGGGACACGCGTGTTAAAATAAATTTTACGCGAAAGTATTTTTTTTTTACCAATATTGACGGCGCGAGACGCGATTTAGTCGGTAGTCACCTCCTCTCCACTTGTTTTCTCTCTCGGCATTTCGGGCGCGTGCAGGAGAGATGGATCGGCTTCGCCTTCACGTTGAGGTGGAAAGGACCATCTCGTTGAGCGGACGACTGCTCCGTGACGTCATAGACTTCGAACGCAGAATTTCAAATAAATCTCTCGCCGTCAATATTGCTCTAATTTTTTTTTTCGCGTAAAATTTATTTTATGACACTTGCGTCCCAACCAGATAGTTAAAAAAAAATAGTTTTTTTTTTTTTTTTCAGTGGCCCTTTAAGGCGTTTCAGCGGAGGGCCGGTCTTCATTGTTTTGCTCAGCTCAATCTCATCTTACGAAGTCGCCGAATGCTCTGCATTTACTTCGCTTGAAGATCCAAGTCGTGGCACCGTATGCAGGTATGGGAATGTTCTCTCCGGGCGACAGTTGGCTTGGGTTCTGACGGCCTCGGGAAGGTGACCCCCGTCTTCCCTAGACAACAGGGTGGCGGACATGTTGGCACGTTTGGAGGCGTCGAGTGTTCGATGAAATCAGCGTGTGACACGAACACAGACACGGTTTAGACAATCGAAGCTTATAAAGAGCAAAAACTAGAATAACTTGCTTGCACTAGCGCATATTTAGGAGATTGACATACTTCAACCCGTAGCGTAGCCAAGAGCATTTCCCGGTGTATGTGTGTGCGGGTGGAGAAGTGTGTGTGTGTGTGTGGGGGGGGGGGGGGGGAGCGGGGAAATGCGGCGGCTGCGGCGGCTGAAGGCGGGCGAGAGGACGCCTTGTGAATCGGGGGTAGCCTACGTTTAGAGCGGGAAGGGGGTAGGGGGTTTCCTCCTCTTGGGGCCGTTAGTGCGTCGCGTACGACGTCGAATTAAGGATCTGATAAAATCGTTGATAACCTCATAAGATTGTATTTTTTTCTTAATGCAGGAGCCGATCAGGCATTGTTGGCGGCACTTGCCAACTGCCCTGATTGATTCCCTAGCGTCGGTGATATTTGTAAAAATCATTGTTCATCACTGACTTTTACTATCAAGGCATTTTTTAAAATAATTCAACAAGGTTTAATAAATATTTAAGTGAAACGTCACAATGCCTCGAAATTCCGAGTATAAATGTCCGAGTTAATTATTTGCGTGCTTCACAAACAGCATTAGTTGAATAGTACGGAATAAGGTAATTAAGTAATTGCCGGCAGCGAGACTAGCTATTATTTTGTTAGCTTGGAATTTTTTTTGCTTGTGATCACACATTTCTAAATTTATGTTCATTTAGTAGGTGAAGTTAGATGGCTCATTTTGCATTTCTTTCAAGTTGATTGAATTTATTTCTTCCATCCTGGGTCAACGTCTTAGGGTGATATCGTCGAGGGTCCTGGCTGTGTACTGAAGACCACTGCCACATGCTGTTGCTACTACCTTTAACTCATCTCGTGGCAGTTCTTAAGACTGTTTACGGCAGGTAATAGTAGACACATCTTTTATTTTAATTTTTTTTTTGTTTGCATTTGTGAACTTGGAATGGGGCTCTTGATTTTTATCTTTTATTGGTGTTCGTCCATTTTCGAGAGGAAATTGAGATATACGTAGAGTAAATAAATTAGGGTAAGACAGGCACGGCTCTTGCGTGTATTTTTTGTCTTCGTTCTTGTGTTTTATTTTCATGTTTTAATAAAACATGCAGTCAATTTCACTCTGGCAAATCACTTGGGCAAAAATATTTACATATTAGCCGAAGTTCGGTAGTGGGCAGCTAGTGTTGGCGGTCGTAGGAGTCGGCTGTGGTGTTGAGTAGCTGCTTACCTGCTACGGTAGTTGTACCCCTTGACTAAGATTTGTTAGTCATATTAGTTAATCGGGGTGACAAATTTAAACATGGCCGGTAAATACAAAGTGCTTACTAAGCTACGATGTGATAATTGCTACGATGTGATAATAATTATCACATGGCGATCCGCCTTGTGATAATTTTAGTCAGTCGTGTAGTTAGTCAACCGTTAAAGTGATTACGCCTGGTGAATATGGCTGATGCTGCTCAACGTTGGCATCAGTGGCCCATCACATGCTCTAAATGAGTCTTACAAAAACTAAATATTTCTTCAGTTTCTTTAAAATGGGGATAATTTTATTTCACATGATTTTCACATTTCTTTGGTTCCAGGCAGGCACGGCAATCTACCTGGTGGCTGTCAGCTCAAGGCTACTTAATCCTGAGGTGCCCCGCTACGTGGCAGTGGAAGGAGACACTTCGAAGCCGCGTCGCCTGCTGAGGCAGTCCTGGTTGTATTCTGCCGTTACTTCATCTTTAACATTGAGTGCCATCACAATTTGAGACGCACATTTATTGTACTCGAGTACATGATTGGTCTAAAACACTTAAAATCGGGAGTCATGTGCACCATATTGCTTTCAATCCTAAAAGAGATGCAAAAGTGATTTTCTTTTTGGATGCCTTTTTTATACAGGTTTAGGGGTTTTCTTATGCAGTCTGTTTAATGTTGTTTTCTTTTTTGTCTGACATAAGGCAGGATGGTTGATTTTGAGAGATACAGAAGGGCAGTACATTATTTTAGGCCACCTTTTCGGAACTTCCAAAATCATTGCTTTCTGCTGTGTGCAGCATCAGTACATTTAATTGATCTCAGTCTATTTCATACTTGATGCCCGAAAGCAGTTGAGGGTTGTGGGTCAATGTACACAGTTATTTGTGCTTGCAAGGTTTAAATATGAGATAGTTTAGTAGCGAATTACAGTAAACTCGAATGAAAGAAGTACACAATGAGAGATTTTGTTTTTAAGGTTAGAACATAATATGGTTGTTGTAACAACCCCCAACATAATGCGTAGTTAGAGTATTATTTCTTGAAAGCACATGTAAAAATAAGATTATTTTTTGGGGAGATTGCACTTTTTTATTTTTACTTACTAGCTGTTTAAAGCTGGTGTTGCTCCCGACATGTAATGTGAAAATTTTAAGCTATTTTTTAATATAGGTATGAAGTTTAATGATGTTCATCAACTTTCAATGTAAGTGTCTGTTCCCAGTACCTGATGTTCCGCTGGTCCATAATTATTCTTATGTTTTGTGTCTTTTAAGAGATAAAGTGAAGTTACTGCTAGTCATGCGAAGTTGAAATCACTGCTAGTAATGCATTGGTTTGTTTTGCCTTTTGCATATGGGGTTTTATGAATAGAGATGTTAAGCAGATTTTCTGTACGTCTTATACTAATTTCTGGAGTCACATGTCGTGTCCTTTGATGCTGAATTTTATCAGGCTTTTTTTATTTGTGGGTGTTTTGTGCGGTGATATGCTGTATGTGTGACTTTAATAAAAACACATCGTTATTCACGTTCAGAATAAGTACTGTCCTAACCTGTGACGATGTTATTTTATTACTGCCTCTGGAGTGGAACACAATTGTAAAATACCACCTCCTAATTGTATCTTACAATACAATTTCTGCATATTTTTTTCGCTAAAGCAGTAATGAAATTACATGTGCTGGGTATTCATCTATGTTGACAGGTTGTCTCCAAATAGCACTTCACCATTTCCTGGTACAGAACTCTCACTTCAGAAGGGGTGGAATTTCTGCACCACTCCCTGGTGCAGAACACCAGTGTAAATTATACCCTAAGATGAGCTAAAACCAGCCTTAAAACATGCAGTGTTAGTCCCAAAAAAAGATTAAAATCGCCCCCAAAAGCAGACAACAGCAGACCCTCAAAACGTGCAGTGTTACCCCCAAAAGGAAGTAAGAGACACTCAAAAGATGCAGTGTTACCCCCCCCCCCCCCCCAAAAAAAAGGGGGTAAAAACAGATCTACTCTGCATATACGCTTAGCTCCAAAAGGGTTTAAAATTGCCTCCCCTACGCGAGGGTGTAAAGTTCCACAAAACGTCTAGTGTTACCCCCAAAAGGAGGTAAAAACAGACCCTTTATGCATGTGCTCTTATCTCTAAAGGGCTTAAAGTTATTTCTTAGAGGGGGCATAGTTACCCACTAAGCAAAGGTGTAAGGCAGGCGGTAACGTCACCTGCTTAAGGGAGTGTCCACAGTGACGCGTTTGGTAACCCCTTCAGGAGGTAAGTCCTACAACCTATTTTAGAGTGGATGCCCGTAAATGAAAAACAGATTCTTACAAGCGGCGGCCAGAGTTGCAGTAGACGCTACCGCTTCCACCAAACTTCATCACGACAAAAATAACTAATTGTTGCTGTTTGCTAAAAAAAATAGTCCTCTTTTAAAATGACTTTAGAAAGTCGTCTTTTAGCATCCTCCATTTTGCAGTGCTTACATGTGTTTTAACTGGGGTTATCTGAAAAATCTGTGATTAAGAGCAGAAATAATTGCCATGGTCGGATCCTATTTGTTTTCTCCTGAGGTACTTCAAATCGCCTCTCATATGACTCTTATATTTGTAACCCCCCTTCTCCCTCCCTCACCTCCCCCCCTCCCTCATCGAAAGACCTGCACAGATTTTTCTATTCGAAACAATCTCTTTGTAAAATACAGTTCTCTCACCCGCTCGTTCTTGTAGCAGTAGAGCCTGTTGTCGGGCTTGAGCACGAACCAGCGCCGGCACCAGCGCTTGGCCTGGCCGCCGCTGCTGAGCCGCTGCAGGTAGCCCCACATGATGGGCGGGTACTCCTTCACCGTCGGCGTGAGCACGTGGCAGGTCCGAGCCAGCTCCATCACCAGTACCTCCGTCCCTGCGCCGCCATAGATTCGCTCTGCTTCTCTCGTCTGCCTACACAGTGAATGCGCGGTTTGACTTCCTTTCCCTTTATGATATCCGATTGTCACTTCGAATTCTACTGCATGGCGTTTCTCATCTGTGTGGCGGATAAGCAGGATCGCTTAGTATTATTTATTTCTATCCTTATGCGAGAGGTAGCCAAGCAGCATATCCTTTTGGATTGTTCTTTTCACCGCAGTAGGCATCTGGTACTACCAGCATCAAGCCCATCCGCTTACGTAGCAGTACTCCTGCGAGTGTTGGGAGAAAACCGTAAACATACAGATATTAAAGAAGTGTTGCCTATTTGGTTTTAGCGGAAAGAACCCAGGATATCACAAGATCGCATTGCCATCGTGTACAATAAAGCATCTCCTTGCCGAGACTAGGGAAATATGTGAAGACACAACGCCTGCTCCAGATGATTGCTTGTTTGTTTCTATTCTTTTTTATATTTACGTAACGTAAGAACCTTGATATCTGGTTATTACTTAAGGAAGTGGATGGATAGGATAAGGAGTTTAACGAGTTAAACAATGAGTCGATGTCTCGAATGGAAACGATGACAAGCCCTACCGACACCCCGCTAGATACCAAGGTCGTGTGCTGGAGGTTCTGCGTCACCTACAAAGGCCAAAGTGATGTTGAACTGGTTTTGTCATCCTGGGGCTTTTGAACTGGTAGAACCCCATTGCTAAAAAGAACAATACCGTTCCGTGCTTTTTTTTTTTTTTTCACGAGCAAAGCAACATTGAAATTTGCTTTAGACGCAATCCATTCGAGCAAGCAGCTTTTGTTTAGGGGATGATTGAACGAAATATATTATAGATTTACTGAAGCGTCTTACCAGCGTGAGCTATTCGGACCACCTCCGAGTGAGACGCCTCCAGCACGCTGATGCCGTTTATGCTGATGATGATGTCGCCCACCTCCAATCCGCAGGTCTCTGCAGGAGTCCCTTGACGGAAGGCATGGCGCTCTGATGAGTGACGATCTCTCGTTACGCCGTGAGGAATCTCGAAGTGTCACTCACTGGTCGTTTCCAGGTGCCAGTTCTTAATTTTTGCTTTTGCATACCGTTTACGCAAACGAGAGTGGGTAATACAGTCATGCCTCGTTTATATGGGCACCTCCGTTATCCCCCAGAAATCGTTCATAGTGGGAGTCATTTACGATAACGAGACGAAAATTCATGTATTTACCCATTTTGCTTATGAAATATCAGTATGTAAGGGGGGTATTCATATCAACGAGATATGAATGTATTGCGTACAGTGAACTGGCAATTGACATGGCATTGTTTTACACGAATGGTGTCATTCTTAAGGCCCGAAGCTTTCCCAATGAGAAAGAAAATAAAAGCAGTCAACTTTTCTCTTTTATGCTACAGAGCGGAAAAAAATCTGCAGAATTACCATTATTTGCTGGTAGTGGTGCTGCCACTACCAGCATATAAATCTTAGTTGAGTACCAGTGCATGGTTTGTTGAACGTAAAACTCAGGTCAGCTGATGAAAGCTTTTATGACTACTGACTCATAGCGAGGGGTGAATGTGATGTAATATTCTGCTACTCGTTGTTTTCCCACGCGTTGGTTTCAGGAGGTAAAACAACTAATGGGAAAGGTAAAAAAAAGATGCTGCGGCAAAAAACTAAAAGCTAAAAAATAAAACTTCTCGTACTCAAAAAAAAAAAAAAGGTCCACAAATTACATTGGCGGTTCAAAGACCCACGTAAAAAGAAAAAAAAAAAAGCGAGAACCTGACGTCTTTGTCTGTAGCTCATGTACGCGCCAGGGAAGATAATGAGCGGGTGATCACCGTGCCTTCACGACTCCCGTTTGACTCTTTTTTTTTTTTCTATTCTAAGTAGAAGCCTTTTTTCAAAGAATCACAAATCCTAGGCTACCCTATTAATTTTCGGTTCGCATCCATTGAACCCAGCGATGTTGAAGTAAAGATGTATAACCATTATATTAATATTAAAGAAACTAAGAAAATATTTTTGTTTAAACGCAACAGAAAAAGTCCGTGATGAACGGAAGCCGTTTCTTTATAATACTGCATGGCCCGATTTATTTCTATGTTAGACTTGGGCCCTCGGTGATTCTCAAGTGCCCTCTGCTTCAATCGATTGGCAGCTGCGTGCCTTCGATGCAAACAATTTTCTTTCATCGGGCGGGTGCTATTTTGGGGCGTTACTTCAACGACGGTCATCTGTACAGATACGTCATTTTTTTCAATTTAGAAAGTTTTTTTTTTCTTTCTTACCATATTCTTGGGGATTGCAACGATCGACGGGGGTTTCATCAACGTTTCCGCTTTGGATGGAATAAAATTTCTTGGCGTCGATTTTGGCAGAACAAAGCACCTAGTGTTGAAATATTCGCTCACAATGAGCAGGAACACTAAAGTCTAGGGTGGCATTTTTCACTGGTATTTTTTTTTATTGCGTTTCAGCGAGTTCCCACTTTCTACTTCTCTCGACTCCGTTGGCATTCCTCTTATTGAAATGGTCAAAAGATGGTCCTTCGATCAAAGTCGTCACAACTCATCAATTATTTTGTTTTCTTAAATTTCTTTTTATTCTGTTTTTTCTCATCACGTTAAGATGTTTTCTGGCGACAAAGCCCTACTGTATTTATATCATCACCATCGTCTTCTTGTCTTTTTTTCTGTGTCCTTAAACAACAATTGTTTGTAATGTGGCACTACGTAATAAAATGTAAAACGTGCGGAAATAAATAAGATGCACTTTCATAAATAAATATATATATATATATATATATATATATATATCCTGGCTCCGCCAATTTTTGGCTTTCGGTGGGTTCCTGGAAACTTTGATTCTTTGATTCATTGGATTAAGTACGGTTCATTCATCTGCACATATTCGTTCATATATATATATATATATATATATATATATATATATATATTGTGAGGGCGCTTCTGCGTAGCACTGGCCACGGACATCGTCGTCGTCACTTTTGGCTGTGGGTGGCCCGATCGGCATCGTCAGCTGATTAGTGGCACCTTTTTTGAAACGTTCTATAGCTATCAGACTCTGATAAAAAAACCGTCATCTGACCGACCTGTCTCTGTCTCACAACGTGGTGGAGGTGAGCCTTTAGACCCCGTACCAAAAGAACCTTCCCTTCGAGCTTCCGCTTAAAACCCTGGAGCTTCGAAACCGCACGCTGGCTACCATCACGGCGACGGCTGCTCAAACCCCCTCGATGTCTCAACCATCTGCGACGACGTCTACAGCCACCACGATGACTGAACAGCAATCGCAACCAAGCCCTACCACTCCTAATTGGACGATTCGCAGCCGCCAAAGAGGCCCTAAGGTTTTTGCTGGTCTTCTTGACGAAGATGTTGAGGACTGGCTCGACAGTTACGACCGCGTGAGCGTCTACAACAGATGGGACAATCCCACTAAACTCGCTAACGTGGTCTTCTACCTTACTGATGTTGCCAAAACGTGGTTTTTGAACCACGAAGAAGAAATTCGAGACTGGGACGCTTTTGCCACGAAGCTAAAGGACATATTCGGCACTCCAACTAGCCGCAAAGAGAACGCGAAAAAGGAACTCGAGACTCGACGTCAAGGAGAAGAGACGTACACCTCCTACATTGAAGACGTCCTCGCGCTCTGCCGTCGCGTCAACTGCGGAATGCAAGAGAGTGAGCGCGTACGTAACCTCCTGAAGGGAATTGCGGAGCCGGCCTTCAATGTTTTTCTGGTCCGAAAGCCCGAATCGATAGCTGACATCACATCTGTTTTCCAACACCTCGATGAAATGCGGACCATCAGAGTCTCTTGCCCAGCTTAGAATCTCAGAGAACCAAAAGCGACAAATTGTGAACTCCGCATCCTCATTAGAGACATCGTTCGAGAAGAGCTCCGGGAGATGTTCAACGAAACACACCGCGGCGCTGAACCGGCAGCAAGTTCTCCGGACTTGCGGTCCCTTGTCCGAGACGAGTTAGCAGCTCTACCTCCTGCAACTCTTCCTCTCCCCACGCCCGCACCACCAACCTACGCCGAGATTGCCGCTAGGATGCCTTCCCCTCAAGTGGCTTCGTTACAACAACTCCACACCCCACCTTCCTTGGCTGCATTTACTCCAGCCACCCTCACCCCGACGTACCAATCTTGGAGACCACCCAACCGCCCAGTATGTTATTACTGCGGCATTAGGGGTAACATTGCCCGCTACTGCAGGAAACGCAGAGATGACGACAGGTACGACAACTCTTATCATCCTCACTTTCGCCGAGATCAAGGGACCTACAATGTAGGTCGGAACAACTCCGGCCGCCAAGGAAGTATTTCCCCTCAGAGGTCGAGATTTGAAAGCCAAACATATCCTAGGCGTCGTTCCCCCTTTCCACTTCCACGCTCTGGGTCTCCGATGATTCCATCTACCCAAACCTACCCTAAATACCCAGCGGAAAACTAAAAAACGCAGTTCTTGGGGGGAGAACTGCGAACCAACGGAACCAGACAACTCTTCCAATCCCATCCAATTTGATTGACGTATGTGTAGAAGGTTTAAATGTTCTTGCTCTAGTTGATACCGGCGCCGCAATTTCAGTTATAAGCGAAGATGTCTGCAAAACCTTAAGAGAAGTCCGAACTCCCTTTCACGGTACTTGTTTACGAGGAGCGGGAACGAATTTGATATATCCCTCCGCATTGTGCACGGCAAGGGTGGTAATTCAAGATACCTGCCATCACATAGAGTTTGTTGTTTTACCAAATTGTACACACTCACTTATCCTTGGCTGGGACTTCGTCTCACTTAACTCGGCAGTAATCGACTGTAGTCATCCGGAATTATTTTTGACCACTCTTGACGTCTGCAATAGAGCTACTGATCACAGTGCGAAAATATCAGTTGAAACCGACTCGGTTATTTCTCCATTCGCAACACACGTATTACCGCTCGTACCGACAACCGCTTACACAACTGATGTCGTCGTACAACCATCGAGCACATTTCTCGCGAGAGGCATAGTTGTACCGCACGCACTTATCCGTTTCATCGATGGAAAAGCTCCCATAGCTGTCTCTAATGTTAATACTGAGTCCGATCGCATTCCACATGGTACAGTTGTCGTGACTGCGACACCACACTCACCCGTTTCTCTGTGTTCTATATCCGCCCCTCAAACCAAATCTTTGCTTACCCAGAACTGTAAAACATTGTCTCTGCATACAACAATTAGCCAAGATCTTGACGATTAAAAAAAAACGTCAACTCCTATCTTTGCTAGAGCAGAACAGAAAAATATTCGACATCGTATCACCTGCGCTTGGTCAAACCCACACGACAGAGCATCGGATCCACATTGAAGATTCTGCTATTGTTCATCGTCGTCCGTACAGGGTTTCCCCATCAGAGCGTTCTATGATCGAGGACCATGTAACTGATATGCTGAAAAAGGATGTAATTCGTCCTTCACGCAGTTCATTTTCGTCACCGGTAGTTCTGGTCAAAAAGAAGGATGGAGGCATTCGCTTTTGTATCGATTACCGCCAACTGAACAAAGTCACTCGTAAAGACCTTTACCCTATGCCCCGCATTGACGACGCACTGGACTCCTTGCAGGGAGCTGAATATTTTTCATCTCTTGATTTACGGTCCGGTTATTGGCAGATCCCAATTAATGAAGAGGACAAAGAAAAAAACTGCGTTCGTCACACCGGATGGCTTATGAGTTCAACGTTATGCCCTTCGGACTCTGCAACGCGCCAGCGACTTTCGAACGCATGATCGACAACATCCTTCGAGGCTTAAAATGGAAAACATGCCTATGTTACTTAGACGACATTATAATCTTTTCTTCCAACTTTGAGGAACACCTTGAACGTCTTTTTAGGTTCTGTCCTGTTTATCTGCCGCCAACCTCCAGCTTAATACTAAGAAATGCACGTTTGCGGCAAAAGC